ATCTGTTTTCTGCAGTGTGTTGCAGGCTCGTTGCCATCACAAGAAAGATGTCTTGCTATATCGAGTCCTGTGGACCTTGCGGGGTGACCTGCCCTCAGCCAATTGCCGAGAGCTACAATGAGCCATGCGTGCAGCAGTGCCCTGACTCCACAACAGTGATCATCCCACCCCCGGCTGCAGTGACAGTGCCGGGCCCCGTGTTAAGCTCTTTTCCTCAGAACAGTGTTGTGGGATACTCAGGCCCAGTTGGGATTGGGAGCCCCTTCAGTTTGCAGGGCTTCCAGGGCTTTGGGGGCTCTTTTGGTTCTGGGGGTTCCCAGGGTTATGGGCCCTTCCTGGGCTTTGGTGGCTCCCAGGGTTATGGAGGCTCCCGGGGCTCCTGGGGTTACAGGCAGTCTTTGGGCTACGGAAACTCACTCGGTTATGGCAGTTCCCCAGGTTATGGGGGCTCCTGGGGTTGTGGGAGCTCCCAGGGCTACGGGGGCTCCTGGGGCTCCCTGGGCCAGTATGGGTCCATGGGCTTTGGCAGTAGCAGGAGGTCACACAGCTCTGGCTTCTCCTCCGGTGGCACAGGGTATTACCGTCCCTGCTCCCAAAGCTGGGGCAGGTCCCGCCGTGGGAGCTGCGGGTCTTTTTAAAGCCCCCAGGATGATGCCCCCAACCAGCAACAGCCCGGAAGCAAGGAGACACGGATCGCAGCACAGAGACATGGAGCAAGAGCCCTGGGGGCTGGCAGCACCCGTCACCTGCCCTGGTGTGGGGGCAGGAGGAAGCTGCACGTGCCCTGTGCCCCCCTCCCCTTGGCCACCTTGCGCCCTGTCTGCATGATTTGGCCTCAGCATCCCCCTCATCTTTCCCCCGTGCTGGCTGTCCCTTGGGCCCTGAGCGGGGCTGTGTTATGCCCAGCATTGCACGCTTTTGCCTTGTCTTGGCTTTACTGTCTGCAATTGCCTCTTTCACATTAAAACCCTGTAGCGTTGCATACGAGCCTCTTTGGTTTTCATTTGTCCTTCAGCCTCCTCTCTGAGCAAAACTCAAGTG